ATGGTACCGAGGAATGCGCGAACTTCTGAAAGGCTTTTACAAGGTCCCCAATTCACAATCTTGTTTACTCTTGACTGATCGGGAATTCTGCCTTCAAACGTGCAAACGTGACCGAGAACGGTGATGAATGCGGCGCACAAAATTGCCTTGTAACCCGAACATCCGGTGAGCAACTCTGTTCATGTTATTGAAGTGCTCCCAAATGAATCGACGGATGCCTGGATTTTCTGGGTGAGTCTCGTATAATCCATCCTCGAGCTGATAACGTGAAGCTGGGCCTCGCACGGCAACATCATCAATATAGGGAATGGTAACTTTGGGAATTTCCTCTTGAAGGATGAAAGTAACGTCATCGTGGAGAATCGGCACGGAATTCGTCCAACCCATAGGCAAAGTGACAAGTCGAAGGGCGCCAAATGGGGTCTGGAACGTCGTGAAATCGCGAGACGACGGGGCGAGTACTCGTTCATCATACCCAACGTAAAGGTCTAACATTCCACCGCAAGCTCTACCTGCAAACTGCTCGGCAACTTGATCTGTGAAGGGCGAAACACCGGAATGCTGAATGGTAACTGCATTGAGCGGCTCAAGACTATGCACTAGGCGAAGACTTGTTCCATCTTTCTTAACAACACAGAACCAACGTGAACGGTACGAGGAGTTTGAACGCTCATATACACCTGCTTCGATCTTTGTCTTGTTTAATTTACAGACCTCGTTATAAATTCCTGGGGGAATGGGCATGTTACGCTGGACCCAAGGTGTATGCGGAATCGTGGGAATATCGACGGGAGGAAAGAAATCTTCGCGAAATCTGCCGCGTTCGCTGTCGTTCCAAGCGAAAGCATTGCGATTCTTGATCATGAAATCGTGCATGAGATCTCGTTCATCTTTCCACAAGAAATCTCCACTGTGAGCTTTGTCAATTATTTCTTTTCTTTCGGCTGTGTAACGACCTGTAGGAACAAACGGAGGTGGATTGGGATTCAAAACAGGCAAAGTATCAAGGGGATCACCGATTATTCTCCGCACGATGCGAAACTTCTCGGGTAAGTCTCCAAGAACTGGCCTAACCTTCTGCGCGACTGGTTTATACTTCTTCTTCGTGCCGGCGTAGGTTTCATAAATATCATCTGGATCAATGGTGGTGTTCAAAAATGAATCGGAGGAAGACTGGGAAGTGGATATGAACTGGGAATATAGGACGGTGTTGTAATGGGAACCTAGATTTGTACAAGCTGTGAGATAAGATAATTCGATGTCCTTGAGCGAGGGATCCGGTACCAGAGAGGAATATGACTCGATGATGGGCAAAAATGCGGCGGCAAGATGATCAACGGAAATAATGAAAGCAACTGCTCCATTATCGCGAGTCAGTTCCTCGGCTTCTGAAAACCCTGCTGTCGAAAACGAGGTGGACCACGAGGGATCGTTGGAACTGTACAAATATGGCCAGTATTCGGATCACAAATTGTAATCGTCTGATCCTCGTTGGCGAAGTTATGGACAATGCTTTGGGTCAAAGCATCGAAAGGTCGACCAAGAAGAATATCATATGCGGGATTTCGAACAACGTGAACCTGTAAATACAATGTAATGTCACCGATGAGGAACGGAACATTCCGCGAAAGACCGAAGGACGGATTAATTGAACCATTGGCGGACTGCATCTGCAAAACAATTCTCGGGTCATACATGAGACCTAACTCATGGCAAACACCTTCCGACATGGCAATGATCTGTGAACCGGGATCAATAATTGACTCAACCACTTGCTTGTGATCAACCGTGGGAAGAATGGACCGGATAGCGCTAGACTCCAACGAAACAATCAAGTCATCGGGCAAAGGACCTGCACCATAAAATATTTCATAGGGATCATCCACAACGAATGCTCCTGGAGGCACTTCTGGCACGGAATAGACTGCATTTGCGTAGGGTGCTGGCATGGAATCGAGGAACTCGGTCATTCGTTCATCTTTGGCTTTCTGTTCTTCAACTGTGTCTTCTTCAATGACTGCTTCTTCGGAAAACGGGAAAACATCTGTTGGATCTGGCTCAGCAAAATAAGTTTGAGAAGCAGCTGGAGGTGGAGCTTTGGCTTTACCCTTGTCCTGCGGCGCTACTCTGCGACTCGTGGTTATATCGCGAACCTGCGCACGGACTTCTGGGGACAAAGACAACAACTCACGCTGGGTTGTGGTAATTGGAACATCCATGGATCTATCAAACACTGAAGAGGCGATTTTCTCATCATAAACTGGAGCTGTGGTTCGATATGCTGGATCCGGCTTCTTCACCTGGGGCGGAGGCGCACCAAAATTACGATCTTTGGGCGGTGCATAGGCTGCATCTCGAGCTTTCGCGAATGGATGCTCAGGCGGAGGATTGGCAGGAATATTACGAACAGGTGGTTGAACTGGAGGCGCGGAACGAACTAGTGGAGGCGGAACTGGGTCTGGCTGAGGAGGTTTCGGCGGTTGAACGGGACGAATGGGCTGTTCTGGCTGCTCAACTGGTTCTCCTGCTGCAGCAGCTGCACGGGCTTGAGCTCGAGTTCGAAGGGCATACAATTCTCGCTCCAAACTTTGAATACGGTCTTCAGCGCTGAACTGAAAATTAGGCGCAACTGGAGCAACTGGAGTTTGATATGCGTGAGCTCGATGATAATCCGGTGCAACATTGAATGTCAACTGCGCGGCTGCAAGCTGTCCTGGATTCTGGCGATGCCATTCCTCGACACGTGCACGGAGATTAACACCCATAATTCGACGCGGAACAAATGCACCTGAGGGAAGTACAACCTTTCCATCTGCATCTCTGCGAATTTTCCCTGCATCAACATCAACCTGAACGGTCGGACATCTGTTAATGTAATGGGAATGGTCACTGCAATATGTGCAACCATCTGGGCGAGGCGGGGGATTATACTGAGCTTGAGACTGTGCATTGGGCTGGGGAATCTGTAATTGTCCTGAAGCAACTACCTTCAACAACTCTTGGATGGACTCCAGCAAAACTTCCTGCTTCACTTCAGTCTTTGGCTCTGGCTCGGAGGCTGAATTAGATGGATCTGCGAGAGCGAACTCAACTGCTTCATACATGTCTGCGATGGCATAGGGATCTTGTGGATGAACATCTGGCTTCTTGACCTGCAGACGTTTGTGAGCAGCTTCCCATAGCTTCGGAGGTTGTATAGCGCGACGGAACGCACGGCATTTCTCACCCTCTGACAATCTGTTCTTGTCAACAAGGTACTTGGAAATAACAATGAACTGCCGATAAAACTCGCTGAAGTCTGTCTGGGAATAAATGCCTATTCTGCCATACTGTCCGATGAGGGCATCGAGATCAGTGACTGAATATTTACGGTCGGCATCGGTTCCTGGATAGAGCTTCAATACAGCTGCTTTGAACTGTTCGAAGGTCTTGGTAGCATCACTGAACTCGGCGAGTGTCTCCCAAATCTCTTGGTCTTCGACTGAGAGAAATCTGGTCGCATGTCCCTTCTTCTCCTGGACATCGGTGACGTTCGAGCGAGTGAATAGGAATTGCAGATCTGAGAAATATCTGAAAAGCTCACGAGGCTTCGAAGAATCAAACTGTGGTGCGTTACACTCACCATGCGTGGGCATTGGAATCGGAGGAGGCTGATTCATGACTGTGGTTATCGGTTGTACTGGACTGGATGAGGGAGGTTGATAGAAGAATAAGTCGAGTTCTAGCGGAGGCGATGGCAATGGCGATGGGGACGAAAGATCTCGATGATGCGAAAGCTGGTCTGGGATGTGGATGAGTAGTTCTTCTGATTCGGAAAGATTTAACTCTGTCTCGAAGGCTCTGATAAACTCTGATCGAAGGGTACAATGTTCTGTAGGGCGACGAGGGTGGCTGGAATATGCTGAATCAATTGTTGAAACCCCTCGCGGTGGGCTCCAAAATATGATACGACCGCGGTGCTTGTGAGAGTGGAAAGGTCAAATAAAATTCAACCAAAGAAACTCTCAGTGATGACCGAAGTACTGATGTGTGTTGCGAGTTGGTTCAACTTCGCTCAGCACCTAAGTGAGATACGAGTGGGGTGAAGGTAGATTTATTCGTAGAGGCGACTACGAAACGACTAGACTGGCGACGAGGGACGAGAACGCACAGCAACGACGAAGGCTGTGAATACAATACTGACGACGAGGGACGAGACTCAAATACGATACGAGAGAAGTGAGAACGAGAACGCTTGCGGAGACGGAGGCTCGACGCGAAATGTGGGCAAAAAGCTTTTTATTGCAGAGGGGAGGCCCTCCTTATATACTGTTTTACAGGGTATTTACATATAAGGAAAATGACTACATGTGACTCAGTATGACTCAGAACTAGTCAGCTCAACTTGACTCAAAATGATTTGACTTGACTCAGACTTGCCGTGTTGCCGCTATGATGCCGAGATGCCGTGTGACCGAGTTGACTAGTGACTCGTCGTGATCTTGCTCTTCTCCGCGTTCAGTGAGCAGCAGGGCTGATCAACGGGCAAGGGAGTGACAGAGACACCCGATGTCTGTCCCGTCAGCCTTCGACTCCGCGACTTGTCATGAGGTCATTGTGATCGTTTTTGTTGGGCTTGGACAGGCGGGATCCTGATCTGACTGGATGACCGGGAGGGAACAGAAATTGCAGGCCATGGTTGTTCCTCCGTGGAACACAATGATCAGTTGGAGACCATCATGCTCACCGAGCATTCTAAATTCAGGAAGACATGTGGGAGGAAGACACAATTGCGCCAATGCACTGCAGTGATCAACAAATTTTTCCGAAAATAAATTTGAAAATTTTTTGATTCAAATTTTCCAAATGTCTTTCCCATGGGAAAACTTTGACTTGGTTGCCCATTAATCACGTCATATCAACACACTGTGAGCTATCACTTTGTGATATGCTCCCTCCGTGGCTGAAAAAGGCAAATATGCACTACGGAACAAGCATGGAAAAAGAAGCTAAAGAGCACACAACCTGACCTCGAATCGAACGAGGGTCTTGCATTTACAGATTACCGGTCGCCCTTCCCACCGTAAATGTGCGCATTACCAGTTATGCCACCGGGTCTACCCCTGCAAACCGCGCCAATGGCTATGGTCTTCATGGAAACCAACAATTGACACAAAAAGTATGAAAGACCCGATCTTGTTCGATTCAGCTCGCAGTAAAGCTCTTATTCTCTGCAGTGAAACCCACGAGGATACAACTATCACCATGAAAAATCAAGCTACCACGGGAAGCCGCGGGAAGAGGCAAGGATTTCACCGAGCTACGGAGTACGGAAATTGGGCGCCACGGACAAAGACGTAACCATCTGTGAGCTATAATGTTGCTGCGACTCGCGAGTCCGAGGCCGAGGCCCCGAGTCGACTCCGGAAGTCGACTTTAAGTCGAGTCACGAACATGACTTTGTGCGACTCACAAGTCGAACCGAGTTGACTCGCCCCAACTTTGAGTGACTTTGAGTCGACTTCAAAAGTCAATTAGGTACATTTATAATACGGCTCAGAAACGTTGAAAGAACTTGTTTAACATCGGAAATTGACGTTGAAAGTTGATATTCCATCACTTTTCCTTGCGAGGGCCATTAGGGCACTTCTGTGATGGTAAAAATACCTCGAAAATCATTGAGGAACCTTGGCACACCCAGAACAGTATTTTACCGAGTCATGACTCGACTTTTTGAGTTGCGGTAACGCTACTCTGTATGTACCTTGACTGGTTATCAGAAGCAATTCATTTCCAGATATTCAGCTTTCAATAAAGAAATCAATGTTTCAAAAAGAACCTGCAGCCTTCACCATGTCATCTGCTACATACTGTCTAACAGTTCCTCAATCTCCAGAACATCTGCATGCTTGTCACCCAGAACCTATTTCTGTTTCTCTAGCACAACACTCATGAGTTTCTGGGCCCTTTGATGTTCTCCCAGGGCCAAGTATGAGTTGGCCAGGTTGCCCATGGTAAGCAGGGTGTCTGGATGATCCTCACCTAGAAACTGGTTCTGTTTCTCCAGCATAACATGCATGAGTTCTTTGGCTTGCTGATGTTCTCCCAGGTCTGAGTATGAGTTGGCAAGGTTCCCCATGGCATGCAGGGTGTGTGGATGATTCTTACCCAGAACCTGTTTCCGTTTCTCTAGCACAACTTCTTGAGCTTTCTGACGTTCTCCCAGGTTGGAGTATGAGTTGGCAAGATTACCCATGATAAGCAAGGTGTCTGGGTGATTCTCACCCAGGACCTGTTTCCGTTTCTCAAGTACAACAATCCTGAGTTCCTGGGCCCGTTCATGTTCTCCCAGGGCCAAGTATGAGTTGGCCAGGTTGCTCATGGTAAGCAGGATGTCTGGATGATCCTCATCCAGAACCTGTGTCTGTTTCTCCAGTACAACACTCCTGAGTTCCTGAGCCCTTTGATGTTCTCCCAGGGCCGAGTATGAGTTGGCCAGACCACCCATGGTAAGCAGGGTGTCTGGGTGATTCTCATCCAGGACCTGTTTCTGTCTCTCCAGCACAACACTCATGAGTTCCTGGGCCCTTTGATGTTCTCTCAGGTAGAAGTATGACCTAGCCAGATTACCCATGGTAAGCAGGGTGTCTGGATGATCCTCACCCAGGAACTGTGTTTGTTTTTCCAGTACATCAATCTCGAGTTCTTTGGCCTTTTGATCTTCTCCCAAGTCTGAGTATGATGTAGCCAGATCGACCATGGTAAGCAGGGTGGCTGGATGATCCTCACCCAGAGTCTCTTTCTGCTTTCGCAGCACTTCTTCCAGTAGCTCCTCAGCGAGTTTATATTTCCCTCCCTCCAAAAATATCAATGCATATTGATGTCTGAAAGTCAAGGCTACTTCTGCATCCAGCAGTACAGCCAATTCGATATGTGAACACAATAGCAGGCTCGCCAGTTGCATATCACACCGTGAGCATTCTGAAATAGCCATGCCAAGTATGGACTCCACAAGGGACACATGTCTCTTTGGGTTTTGGACTGTTGTTTGACTCCAAGCATGTACTAATGGATGGATGAAAAAGGGCTTCTTCTCTCCATCAAAGCTAATCAGTGAATAGGATTGGATCTCATTGGTAGCATCCAAAAACTGCAAAGAATCCCATTCTCCAGTTGGCCGCAGAAAATGTGAGAGGAATTCCAGAGGCTCCTGTACTTCTTCTTTGGATGGACCACCGAAAGGAAACTGGTACCTTGATGCATAGCGGAAGATTTCTTCAGAGATTCCATTATAATGAAGGAATGAACAATGCTGCAGGAACATGGCAGCTGGTGGCGTGAGCTGGTCAAAACTCATTTTCCATGTTGTGTACACCGTCCAAGCATAATGGTCATGAGACTGAGCAGGCTTCTCACTAAGGAGTCGTGTTTGGTTCTCCATATAGAGAGCCAGATAGCCATCCAGGTTTCGAGATTTTGATATGAATGCACCGGCTTGAACAATTGCCAGAGGTAAATGGTGCAATGACTAATGAATTGTTGAAAATTGAATGTGTTGCCAGGCTTAATTATCATACCTTTACAATTTCTGCTGCAACTTGTTCAGTACGGGCTGTGGCCTTCTGCAAAGCACTCTTGAGTAACAATGCCACTGCATCTTCCTTTTCCATGTCCAACACAGGGGAGTGGGATCCAGCATAAATACACATTCCTGGATTCCGAGAGGTGATAATGATATTCCCGTGATTGCACTGAGGAATATAATCATTCAGATTGATGCCTGGATCATCTGCATTATCAAAGAAAAGCAGCCATTCTTCAACTTTGCTGCTCAGCCATAGTAAGCCATCTTCCGGAGAATCTCCAAAGTCTTTCAGGACAGCTATATTCTTGAGACCTGTCTCAATTGTTGCAATGGTGCTGGTGTCAATGAAAAAGATGTTTGAGAAGCTGACATACAACTGGATCAACAATCATTTGCAGGTGTATGATCAAGCTCACCGAGATGATGACTTGTTGATGAATTTCAGAGCAATCTGTGTCTTTCCGGCCCCTCCTAGTCCATGTAGCACATAAATGTGTTGGATCCCAGTATCAGAGAAAAATTGATCCATGTTGTTAAGGATATCCTCTCTGCCACAGAAGATTCTCGATGGAGGAGGACAGTGACTGGCAATTTGAGCTGCCCGGATGTTGCCGAGCCGCAGTGCCTGGTCCGTAGCAACTGTGGCTTGCAGATTGTGTGTGATTAACTGTGATGCAGTGATATGCACAATAGGACCCTGTCCCACCCCACCAGTGCCACCTTGGAGGTGTGCTGGACCCCCGGAACCACCTTGGCCACCTACGCAAAATTGTCAATTCCTTCCACGCTTCAAGAAAAGCAGTCCCGCACCAGTAATGTGGAGTGATCGAGAATCACCATCTAAGGAAAACATGAAGCTGTGCCAACCTTGAGAGGAGACATCAACCAGCGGCAACATTTCTACAGGGGAGAAATTGACTTGAGAAAGAGAGGTATCACCACAGTAGTGGAGGTGGAGGTGGAGGACAAGGAGTTGACACGCAACGTGGATAAGGCTTCTCTCCAGCTGATCTTTATCCTGGTTACAATCAGTCATCAGGAACAACGAGTGACAGCGTGGGTTCTAATGGTCTACTGTGGTCTATGAACAAAGCGGCCGTTTATGTGAGCCTATGCTGGTCTATAATCTCTCTCCTTACAACACACCGTAAATAGCAAAATCTTCTAAAGGGCGAAAAGACTTACTGGTTATAATGCAATCCGAATGAAAATCAAACTTGAGGAATGGTTCAAAATTCCTTTGTGTGATTGAGCTTGTGAAAGAGCCACAATCAGTGTTGCTTTCAAAGGAAACTGAAAGAAGACCTTTTCAGTCGAGCTGAAAGAACAACTGAAAGATTGAGGGATTTTTGTCATTGGCTCGGAAAATGCCGGACCAATGGCCAAAATGCCTCAGCCTTTCCTTTGTGCTTTCAGTTGCCACTGAAAGTCTTCCTTTCAATATTTCTTGAAAGCGATGTTGAATATTGCTCTCTCAGTTATACAATCGAATAAAGGAATTCGAAAACATTCCCCAGGTTTGTTTTTTCATTCAGATTGTACTACACTCAGGTGGGCTTTTCACCCTTTAAAATATTTCACTATTTACGGTGTGCAAAGCTATGCATGTCTGAAGCCTTTAAACTCAGCCGACATCTCGCTGCAGCATGACTGATCTCGCAGGCGAAACACATTACCTCCGGCATGCCGAGTATGGCGAAGTCTTGACATGCCTCTTAAGGCTCCAACCATTTAGCTTTATAAACTGGTTTAAACCATTAAAACGGTTTTTATTTAGGTTTAGTTTGGGTGGACCGGCAAACGGTAAACATAACGATTTTAAACGGTTTAAACGGTTGAATTTCGCTCAATTTACCGGGAGGCGGGTCGGCGGCAAACTGGCGGTACGAGCTGCTTCTCCATGGCTTTAGGTGTGATTTCGGAACGCTAACCGCCTGATTACGAGCTAGCCACTTGTCTAATCCTTACCTTCTCTAGAATTCTACCGGTGCTGGCACTCGATCGGCTGGGGTAAAAAATATGTGACCCAGCCGTGACCGGACGTGTGTTTCCTTTCCTCCTACCACCATGTCTGGGAGACCAGTGCGAAACCAATTCACTGCCTCCAAGCTCACTGACCCCTCTAACGGCGAACCTCCCAGCTCTGCTCATCATGCTCTCCTCCAAGAAACCCGAGCGTGTCTGACTTGGGTAAGTCACGTTCTTTTCCCATGTCGTGAGCTCCTTTAATAGTACAAACTGTCTGCCAGTGAACGAAATCATGGGCTACATTCAAAATATCGACGACCTGTCTTACGTCCTACCCGCCTCGATCGCCGAAGGGACCGCAGCAGACCATTTTTTGGCTCTGAAAAATTACTATTTTAAACCGTTTTAAGTGGTTTATAAACGGTTTAGATACCGTTTAGGTTTAGTTCAGCTGGGCCCGTAAACAAAAACTAAACGGTTGGAGCCTTAACATTGCCTCTATCATTGCAACTCAACAGCTCCGAGATTTATGTCTATATTACTTGTGCTTGGGGGCCATTGCTCC